TCAGTGCAGATCTCAGCCCTACCACCTCCTGGCTGTGTGACTCAGGTAAGCTCTAGACACCTCTGAACTTTGATGTGCTCATTTGCAATCTAGGAATGCTAACACCTGGACTGAATGAGACAAAATCATAACACATAGTGCCTTTCACATAAATGGTGCTCCATAATCAGTGATTTTTTTTACCACTAATGTGATTGTGTGCAAGCTTACAAACTGTTCAATGTATACCAAGAATTATTGGTATATTTAGTATGATTTGATTTCACTGAGTAATCAGATAAATAGTGAAAGAAAACTATAAGCAGGAAGAATAGAATGGAGACCATAAAGCACATTGTCTATGTTTAAAATAAATATATTTGTAGATAAGGACATATAAAGACTTAAGGTCTCCCAAAACCTTACTCATAAAATTAACTCACATTGTTTTAGCTAAGAGATGATTGTATGGATCGTTTTTAAGAATGAAAAACACTAGCCATGACCAATGGTCTTGTGTCAGGTTGGGATAAGGTATCTAGTGAGTGATTGTGAGAATCAGTGATAATTCAGATTTTATCTAGCACCTCCACTGAGAGCAAGAGTAATTGGTCTATTAATGAAATCTGTAAAGTCACTCAGTGAACTTCCAGGGAGCCTCTTCAGAACTGGAGATATTAACTCAGGAAGACTAGAAATAATGCAAAAAGATTCCAAAGTTCATTCACTTATTCAGAAAACATTAAGCCCCTTCTCTGTTCTTTTGGGCACTAAGGAGTCACAGCCCAGTGCAGAGTAGAGCAAGCAAATCACTACAAAGCAGTGAGAGAAGGGCCCTGGGTATAGGTAAGTGTTGGGCACCAAGACAGCCCAGATGTGGGGCTCCTGACCCAACCCAGGGGTCAGAGGAGGAAACACCTGGGCAGACTCTGCAGACCCATTGCACCTAATCTGACAGAGGAGGACTGGCAAGTCATTCCTTTTGGCTGTGCTGGCATAAGGGTGCCAGCCTCTCCCAGTGTGAGGGTTCCTTTGAAGTGTCAGTGTGTGTCATGGCCTTCCCACTTCACAGTAATTGTCCTTTTAAAATATTTATTTTTCTTTATTTTAGAAGTACTGGGAATTGAACTCCGGGGTGCTCTATCACTTAGCTACATCTCATCTTTTTTATTTTTTGAGAAAGTTCTCAGTGAGTTGCTGAGGCTAGTACAAATTTACAATCCTCCTGTCTCAGCCTCCCATATTGCTGGGATTACAAGTGTTTGCCACTGCTCACAGCAAAATCTTTTTTTAAAAAAAAAGATATGATATTTTTTCCTCCCCACCAAAAAAAACTATCAGTAATTTCATAACAGTTTTAAAAGAACTCATGTCTTGTTAGTCCCAGTGTCAACTGATATTTATGCTAGAAAAATATTTACTGCACTTAAATGATGCATGTATTTTAATCCCCACAGTATATAGCTATTTAACATTTTCACTTGAGAAATAATTATCTCATGTGAAAGACTTTTTTCCATTCTAATCTTTGCATATGGAAATCTTTACGATTTCCTCGATATAACCATATGCAAAGATTAGAATGGAAAAAAGTCTTTCAGCAACTCTGGAGACTGAAGTAGGAGGATCAAAAGTTTTAAAGCCAGCCTCAGCAATTTAGCAAGATCTTCAGGAACTTAGCAAGACCCTGTCTCAAAGTAAAAAATAAAAAAGAGCTGTGATGTAAATCAGCAGTAAAGCACCACTGTGTTCAATCCCTAGTATAAAAGAAAAAAAAAAATAGAAATCCTTGTGATAACTGCCAATTCATCCCTTGCCCACTGCTGACATCTGTGGTCCATAGTTAGGTTGCAGCCTGGGGAGACTGGCAGGATCTGAGATTGGATAGGTGGAGCCAGCTCCATCATCCATAGTGAAGTCAAAGGGATGGCCAGTTGATAGGGAGTTTGAGGCATGCAGTGACAACAACAGATTGCTCTGTCCGCAAGATGGCACAGGGATAGAGTAGGAGGCAAGTTCTGAACTACCATCATTGCAGTGAATGGAGAAAACATTAACAATGAAAAAAGAAAAATATGAACAGAATTGATTTGACTTCATGACATCAACTTTTTGACTTGGGTAATTGAATAAATGGTGGTACTATCACAAAGGTGTTTTTAAAAGCAGAGATAAAGACAAGGCTTGAGGAAAAGATTTTGGATTTGGATTGCATGGAATCCAAATGGAACCCATGGAACTGCAAAGTAGAAATACCCAAGTCTGGAAGGAGGATATAGACTAGAGAAATGGCTGTCAACAGCTGGATAATAGGCAGAGTCACTGCACCCTGGGAGGAGTAAACAGTGTAAGAAGAGAGTCCAAGAACAACGTTCTGGAAACCCCCACATCTAAGAGGCAGGTAGAGGGGAACAACATCCAGAAATGAAGGATGAAAACCTAGAGAGAAAGATCATGGGAACTAAGGGGAGAGAAGATTTTCAGAAGGAAGCCAGGAAAAGGGTCAGTTCTACAGAGCAGTCAAGTATGATAAGGACCAAAAAGTGTATCTGTCTATAAAATGAAAAGAATAACAACAGAAACACATCTCTTACTTACCTAGCTCTTTAGGCTCTCAAAGCGCTTCCATATTTTTTTTATTTCATTTCATCTGCACTATAATCCATAGAACATGCTTACAGATGCTAACGCTGCAGGGCCATGAGTTTAAGGGATTTGCCAAAGCCATCTAGCAAGTTAGTGTCTTGGCTTCTGGAATTAGAGATTTCAGTCCAGGGTCTTGAAGGTGCTCCCCAGTCACCCACACCCAGGGACTTTTTAATCACCCAGGGAAGAAGTCAGAATAGGGCCTGTTCCAGAATAACTACTGGTTGATAGTTATTCGATTTTTAAAGACTTGCTTGTCACATTGTTTTGCTCTTCCCAGAACCCAAAGATGTCAGTGTTCTGGGACCTTCTGGATCTAAAAGGGCATTACCTAATTTCTTGCACCTAATTTTGTATGTGAGAAACCATTGAAGGTTTGCAAGCAGAGAAGTGATACACATTGGAATGTGTTTGGGAAAGGTTAATCAGCAGTATTGAACTTGCATTTGACTGGGCTTATGCCTGGTTGTTGGATATTCACTTCACCTGAAATATACTATGAAGATGCAACCTGTCTGGGCTTTTTTGCAAGTGAACCCTTCTCTTCACCCTGCTTCCCACTCCAGTGACAAGAAGAGAGCAAGAGCTGTCTCATATTTGGAAGCAAAAGCTCCTTGCATATCTGATGATGCCAGTGCTGACCGTCAGCTCTCAATTCTCCCACACCATCCTGTCTGGAGGCAGCCCAGGAGTCCCCTGTTTACTCATTCATTCCTTAGTCATTCCATCAAGGAGTGGGGATGCTGCTCCTTCTATCTTGGCAGGTCTGGACCCAGTCCAAAGTTATCCAGGTGGGACGAGGCCTGAATCTCTTCTCTGCCTAGCTCTTCATTGGGAGAAATTTAGAAACACACTTATCTCTGGGAATTCACTGCTCTCTTGGGCATGGGGATGATTATCTCTCTGTAAACCTGTCTATCATTTATAGCACAGAAGGAATACCAAACAAAGGCCTTTATATTAATCTATAATATTTTATTCTCCTTACGACTCAGATGATATCACTATAGTACTACCACCTTGGAGGCTGGGCAAGGCCCAGAGACAGACATCACTATACAATATCGATTTTCTGGGGATGACTCACAACCTTTTTTCCAGCTGCTGGCCTGAGTCTGGCCTTTTCGACTAATCCATAAAACTGAGATACCACTGGGTGCATGGCTGTCAGGAATTTCTGGGAAATTGTCTGGAGTCTGCATCATAGGCATGACAGGTGGCATTTCTCTCCCATCCAGCCTAAGATTAGCTGTTTCTCTTTTCTTCCCAAGTTTGAAATGGATATGATCTCCTTTCTCTGACTTGAACAAAAAGCAAGCAGGATAGGTGAATTGTGACCATAGATGCCTACTTTATTGCCTACTTTTTTGTGGTGCTAAAATAAAAACACCTGCCCCATCCTGTTAAATATCAAATATAAAACTCAGATTAGAGAAAGTAGAGTTGCTAGGTATATCTCTGACCCCCTTAAGAATAACCCTCTGGGGGCTGCAGTTTGTGGCTCCAGGGTGAAGCACTTGCCTAGCATGTGTGAGGCACTGGGTTTGATCCTCAGCACCACATAAAAATAAATAAATAAAATAAAGGTATAAAAAAAAGAATAACCCTATGCCAGTAACACGTACAAGTAACATGATGCCAGTTATCTAACCTGTCAAATTAATGAAAGATGAAGTAAATGGAAGATTTCTGAAATCATCTTGAGCTTGTTCATCATTCAACCAGAGAAAACTCTTAGAAGTTTTAGAAGTGACAGGCTGAGCTGCAATTATGATTTTAAGACAAAAAGGCATGAAACATTTCCACATTTCCAGCTTCTGTATCAGAGACTTTTTTTTTATACCAGGAATTGAACTCAGGGGCATTCAGACACTGACCCACATCTCTAGCCCTATTTTGTATTTTATTTAGAGACAGGGTCTCACTGGTTGCTTAGCACCTCACCATTGCCAAGGCTGGCTTTGAACTCGTGATCCTCCTGCCTCAGCCTCCTGAGCTGCTGGGATTTCAGGCATGCGCCTGTATCAGAGGCTTTTTACTGATCTAAATGATACATCTCTGGAGTTAGATTCCCTGGGTTCAAATCTTGGCTCCTGAACCTACAAGCTGTAAGACCTTGGACAGGTCACTTGCTGCCCGAGATAAGTAGGGATGATGATAGTTACTTATCTCAGAGGGCTGTCAGAATGTTTGACAAGTCATTATGGTACAGCAACTAGGTCAGCACCTGGGCATAGCCAGCATCATGTAAAGGCTGGCAAAGCACGCACCAGACTGAGGGGCATGCACATACAAGGCAAGCTGGGCTGCAAGGCTTTGTTGAGAAGTCTCCTTGATAATCCAATAATGAGGTCCGTGCTGTTTCCCCACTGCAGGTCAGTGCAGCTGAATGGCCAGCCCTTAGTGATGGTGGACGACGGGACCCTCCCAGAATTGAAACCCCGCCCCCTTCGGGCCGGCCGGACATTGGTCATCCCTCCAGTCACCATGGGCTTTTATGTGGTCAAGAATGTCAACGCTTTGGCCTGCCGCTACCGATAAACCACCCCCCATTCAGGAGCTGCCGGGGGGCCTGCTGGGCTGCTTTCTCCCTTCCACCCTAGTATCTGCCTCTGCTGCCCCATCCTGCTGGAATCAACATAGATTTTTCTCTCCAAAGAGACTAAATGTCATAGTTTGAGCTTAGCCTAGGTAGGTTGCATCCATCCCTAATGACATCCTCTGTACCCATGTAAGAACAAAGGTATGTGTCTAGAGCTGTATGTTTTCATTTACACGCACCATGAAAGCAGGCTGACTCCCCACTCCTAGGACAAATGTTTGCAAACAACTCCCCATGATTCTGGTCACACTACAGCATAACTACAAACCCCCAAGCTGAGCCTGTGGCTACTGCCCGCAGCAGAAGATGAGGAAGGAAAATACTGGGAGGACCTCCAAGAACCCATTCCTCTTCTAACCCCTTCTCTCTTGTCTGTTTCCTGCTGCTGCCCTGGGTTTCCTGATACCTCTCTTCCTGTAGGAGAGCAAATGGTGAGTCAGCTCTGGCCTGCTGGGTGAGCTGTTTATGTAATTTCCTGGCTGATGTATGAGTGTGTGCATCTGGGTTTCTGACAGTGGCATCCATCACTGGCCATTCCTCCGGGAAGCGGGTGCTTCAAAAGTAGAATTATAATCATACTCCAGATTCTGTAAGAAGGTTCTTTCTATTCCTTTGTGAATCCAGATTCCCCCAGGCTTGGAACGGGAGTCAGGTAACAATATTCATTGAGTAGAGAGCAATGTATCAGGCACCACAAAAAGCAATCATCATCCTTCATGTTGCCAGGAGGAGAGAGTTGTAGTGCAAAGGAGAAAGCACGAAGAGACATCACACATACCCTGGCTAAGCAAAGCCAATCAGACCTGCCCCCAAACTGAAGACCGGCAGGGCCTGAGAGGGTAAGCCCTTAGTTGTTTGGTTAACCAAAAACCGTTCAGAAGGTGTGAATCAAAGCTTAGCACTGTAAATCACGATGAGGCATGGCCTTTCTGCCTCTTGCCACGTAGAGGAGCCTCTCCATGGCACTGGCCAGGTGGAAATTCCAACAAGTGTGCCTCCTATCCTAGGCCCGCTTATTTGAGCAGAAAACAAAGCTTTGAGTAGCCATATGGAGGAGAACAAGAGAGCTGGAGACAGGTCTGATGGCCACACTGCGGAATGTCGGTGGGAAGCTTCTGAGTGAAGTGATATAGAGTCACAGTAAGGACCTCTATGATTCAGGAAGCACAAGAGTCTTTGCAAAAAGTTGCAGAGACTTTCTTTTATGTGGATGTGATTGTCCTCAGGATAAATGACATAAATGATGCTTCTTTTAAAGGAGAAGATACTTGACGCTATCCTAGGGTGTTGACAGCCATACAGCTCTGCTGTTGTGAAAGGCTAGAAATGGGGTGGGGATGGGGTTGTTGAGGAAGTACCAGAGAGGCTGCCTAAGACAGCCGAAGAGTAAGGATTGGGGCCAAGTCTGCAAAGTGAGAGACGGAAGATTCAACAAGCAAGGTGGTAGTGGATTCTCAGCTTCGAGAATCGAGAATTTGGGAATTTAGAAAGCCAACTAGCTAATTTTATGTAGGAAAGTAGTGGACTTGGTTTTTGACACACTTATTATTAGGCGTGGGATAACATCACACTGGTGTACTAGAGCAAGCAGGAAAGGGAGAGCCCAAGGATGCACTGGACCTGCTCAGTGCAGTGATTAGCATGGAAACCTCTGGAGAGAGCAGAGCAGACCCTGAGACTGCCCCCTGCCCCAGAGCTCCCCAGGGTGCTTCCCTTAGCAGGAACAGGCACCTCCTGCTGAAGCTTCAGCTCTTAGAGGACAGGAGAGAGAAGTGCCCAGACTAGGCGTAGGAAGGAGACAGGTGTACAGGCCAAAGTAGGGAAGAACAAGGAAAGGAGAAATGAGACAAAAAGTTGTTCCCCCAGACTCTGGGGAAGACATCCGAATCTCCTTGAGATGCCAGTGCAGATGCCGCCTCAGGACTTTCTGATAATAACAGGTAACCACAAGTCCCTAATAGCCAGGCCCTGGCCTAGTTTGCTTTACATATATAAAGCCCCAAGATGGAGTTACTATTGTCATCCCCATTGTTTTCTTGAGGTCCTTAGCTTGCCCAGGGTCACCCAGGGAATGGTTGCTAATCCAGAGCCTGTCCACTTCATCAGCAAGTTCAGTGGTACCCAAGTCACAGACTCACCCCTTTCACCTCCTGGTATGTTCTCACTCAATACATCCAGGACTTTCAGAGCTCCATTCAGACACACTTGCTGTAAATAAGTGTTGATTCTTCACTAAGCCTTGCAGAATATAGGTAATTCCTGCTTCTTTTGTCTTTCTCTGTATATTAAATGCTGCACCCAAGAAGTTTAAGTTTTGTTTATTTTTTAGTTAATAAAAGGGGAAGAGGGAAGCACTGAAATTTATCTTTGGAATATTGCAGTTCTAATTCTGCAACTATCTCATGAAGAAGTACTTACATTGTTCAAAGGATACCAAGAAACCCACTCTGTCATCACATTACGTTTTAGCACAGGGCATCTGTCCTGGTGCCCTTGAGGAGTAGGAGGAGCAGTTACTAAACCAGTGGGGGTTAGTCCATCTAGGAATCCCCGTCACACACACCCCTAAAGACTGCCTGTGGCAAACAGCATCACAACCCATATCAAGAGAACCATTTTCTAGGCCAGCCAGAGACAAAAGAGCAAAGTGCATGTACCCCAGACTCTCCTCTTCCTCAAGCAGGACACTGTGGAGATCATCTGAGACTTAAGAACTGCTTTATTTTAAACCAAAGAATGGGCTGGTGGACATACTGATTTGAAAGAGTAATGATGCAGAATGAGAATCCGTGCCTTTTGTTGAGATGGTTTTGTGTTCCTTCTGCCTCTAGGAATGATTTCCTTTCTCATTTCTTATCACAAAGGCTCAGAATAAATTCTCATTGTTATTTGGAGAGAAAGTCCCAATTCTTCTAATGCCCTGTAAAAAACAAACAAACAAAAAAAAAACTGCAACTGTGGGATATTAGTATTATCTCTGGCTGGAGAAAAGCTTGAAAATACCAGTGGAGGGGGAGGGGGCTCCAGTGGGACTAAGGCCTGGACCTCCTAGAACCATGATTCCAGCCCCAGTTCCTCCCCAGCAGGAGTGTGGGCAGTCCCCAGGCAGGGAGGCCCAAAGCCACACACTCTCAGGTAGGACAGAGAAGCCTGATGGATTCTACTGTTACCCACTCCCAGAATCAGGGGCCAGCACTCAGTGGGCTGTTAGCCACCGAGCTTCCTGCAGGTGGCATCGTTGGGGCCGGGCCCAGCATCCATGCACTGAGGCCCGGTGCCTGGAATGGATGTAGCTACAGGATTCACCTTGGAAACCCACTGAGAGTGGCTTTATTTCTGAAAACAAAATGTCAGCATTTAATCTCTGCAGAAGCAAAGGCAAACCAGGTGGATCCCTCTGATGGTAAAAACACTAGGACAAGGAAGGACTTTCATATTTTGAAATATCAATGGAGCAACCAAAAAGAATCGAGATATGGCTTTGGGAAAGCCAGAGAAGGAAGGGCAGAGTCTTGTACCTAACAGTTTCCTCCACACCCCTGTCCAGCCGGACACCATTGGGCCGCTCTGGACACTGACTTGCTCTTCCCGCACTCGCTCTCCTGTTCCACAGCCCCTCCCCTGCCAGCCTCTCTATCCCCAACTCTTAAACTTTAATTTTAGATTTGTATGTGCTCTTTTCCTTAGCATGTACCTGAGTTGTAAAGAAGATAGTAAGAAGTACTCCCAAGAGAGCCAATGCTAAAATACAGAATTTTATTGTACTATGAGGTCCAAACAATCGAAGCACTTGGAATCCCTCCCTCTGAGTTCCACTAACAATGAAATGATTGCTTCCATAGCTGTCCTTCCTTTATTGAATGCCTTCTTCTCATCAGACATCTTATTTATTCTTCATTCTGGGTGGTGTGGTGAGTATTTTGACTCTATTAGAGATGGGGAGGATTAGAGAAGGAGCCTGTCCATAGCCATCCAGGTGAAGAGTGGCCGAGCTGAGGTTTGGACCCAGGTCTTTTGGGTTCCAAAGTTGGCTCTCACTACACTGTGTTGCCTCTCCTCTGTCTGACAATAGACAACCTTTTCTCATCTCTGTTTGCCCATAGCTAGCCTTCTTAATACCCTGTGCATGTCCCACAGAGAACCCTAGCATGACTTCCCCCAATGCCTTCCCCTTGATCTCTGGTTTAAGGAAGCCAACTAACAGCCTTGGCCAAGTCCAGATTCATCTTGGCCCACCAGTGACTCTTCTGGTCTCCCCCTCTATATTTTTCTGTGGAACAATCTAAGGACAATTCCTGCCAGCCACCACCATGGGTAATGAATGGTTCTTCTATTTCTAGGTCCTAGGAGGTAAGTGACTGAGCTAATCAGAAACTAAACACACTTTGTCCTCCTCAGAGGATACCACTCAGAGCTTCGGAAGTATCTCCTCACTTTCCCAGACTAAATAATAAATCCATGGACCATTGACCAAGGGGGAGTATTTGCAAATACCACCCTAAAAAAGAGAATTAAAATACAACAAAGAACTACTTGGCACCATTTCCTTCTATAGGCCAGAGCAGCCCATGTAAGCACTGGGAGCATTTGGTGGGAGCTGAGAAAGTTCCATTCGACTGGCTCATGAATCAATCGCACAGTCCCATGACCCAGCAGAGAAAAGAAGGCACTTCCAACAGCCCACATCAGGAATATTACTCTTCTAATTATTATTCATGAAAATATTCTAGGATTCTTTTTCAAGTTGTAAATATTATGCAATAAATTATAATTTTGGAAGAAGCAAAAAGAAATCTTAGTTTTATTCATCTGGAAGTTGGCAAAATGAGTACAGGACACCTCACAGGAAAAGCTTTGTCTCTATGGGGAGGATTTTAACAGGTGTTAATATTTCCTTCTGGAAAGCAGATTATGTTATGGTATATATGAGCCTGGTGATCGCAGGGATTTGGGTCCATGAGGTAGTTTATATTTGGAGGTAATGTTTTGTGAGTAATAAAATGTGACTACTCTAACTTTCTGTTCTCAGGGTTTTCTGTGGGGAGAGGGAGGCACCTGTTGTCCACATTACACCTCGACCTTAAGACCTATTGCTTGATGAACCAGCATATGCTGGGAACCTTTGATTGAATGGTGTGTTGCCCTCCCCCCTCCCCCACAAGTTCTGTTTCAACTAGTCTAGGTAGAAATTAAATTCTATAATTCAAGTTAGATGTCTTTGATTATATTATTTAACAGTTAACTATAATAATAAGTAAATCCTAGAATCTCCATGGCTTAACATAATCAAAGTTTATTTCTTGCTTATAACCCACATTCAGTTCATTTGGTGGTAACAGGGAAGGGGGTTGGTAGCTCTATCTTCCCAAGTCCTCACTTAGAGATCTGGACTGACACAGGCCGTCTACCATCTGTGGACTTCCCTCCAAGGCTACTCTGGCATCAACATCAGTTGATAGATGAGAGAAAGGATCACATGGGGGCAATTAGGGGTCTCACCTGGAAATGGCACATGTCCCTTCCCCTCAGTTCTATGGGCCAAAAGTTAGTCACATAGGCCCATCTAGATACTAGGGCTTCAGGAAATGAAGTCCTTAGCTAGCAGCTACTTCCCAAGTACATTTCATGGGAAAGGAGCATAGAACTTAGATGTTAGGAGGCCAGAGAATGAGTCAATGGTTTTAGGTCCCTGCAGTTGATTTGCTATCAAGTAACTGTTGCATTTGTGTGTGGTAATATCTAGATCAGCAGGACGTTTTTGCAGACTCCAAAATAACCTTTTTAGGTTAGGAGCTTTCTTCTCCTCCCCCTGAACCCCCTTTTTAGGTCCTGCCTTTTCTAGTATTTGGCTGATTTTTATCAAAAATCTGTCTCTGAGGCTGGAATTGTAGCTGGGTGGAACACTCATCTAGCACGTGTGAGATACTGGGTTCTATCCTAAGAATCACATAAAAATAAATAAATAAAGTAAAGATGTATCCATCTACAACTAAAAAGAATATTAGAAAAAAAAAAAAAAAAACCTGTTCCACTACTATCCAGTTAGGATACAGGTAGCACTAGGTGCTGCGCCCTCTACTGGACACATCAAAAATAAAATTTGAAAACTTAAATAGCAAAGCAGGTTATAAGATCACTTGTAGAATCAGAGGCCAGACTCCAGACCAAATAAACACCCACATCCAGAGATCACAGCAATGCTATCCCACTGATTCTGTGTATCTCAAAAGAAAATTCACTCAGCCTCTATGGCTCTCAGTGTCCTTATCTATAAAATGAGGACTTCAAATTAAGTGAAACCCACAGTTACCTACTTCCCTGTTGTCCAATTCTATGTGAGATGGTCCCTATTTGATCTGCTGCTGTTTTTCCAGTTCCTCTCCATGTGGTCTTTAGATATATTAGATACAAAGTTAAGTCACTGTAAACAATAATAACAACAACAACAAACAGACATAGACTGCCAAAAGAGAAAAATACCTGATAAAGTGGCTTATACCCAAATATATTAAAACGTCAAATAAACAATAAGAAAAAAATTAAAATTTTATTTTTTTCTTAGTTGTAGTTGGACATACTACCTTTATTTTATTTATTTATTTATCTATCTTTTTATGTGGTGCTGAGGGTCGAACCCAGCGCCTTGAATGTGCTAGGCAAGTGCTCTACTGCTGAGCCACAACCCCAGCCCCAAGAATTAAAATTTTAAATGGTCAAAGGATTTGAACACTTTACCAAGCAACAGATAAAGGTAGCATATACACACATGGAAAGAAGTCATTAGTCATTAAGAAAATGATTAATTAAAACTACAATGAAACGCCAGCACATCCCCAGCATGGTTTAAGTTTTAAAAGGACCATATCCAATGCTATCAAGGGTACAGAGCATCTTGAGGGAACATAAAATGGTACATGCACCTTGGAAAATGGCTTAGCAGTTCAACATAAAGTTCAGCATGGACTTACTATACAGCCCAGCAACCCCACTCCTAGGTGTTCACCAAAGTGAAATAAAAACTTCTGGTGAACCACCTCATACCCATTAGGATGCCTGCTGTCAGAGAAAAAAAATAAATGACAAGTGTTGACAGGATGTGGAGAAATTTGAACTTCATGCCCTTTTGGTGGGAAAGTAAAATCATGTGGAATACAGTATGTACCTCAAAAAATTAAATAGAATTACCATATGATCAAGCAATTTCTGAATATATTCCCAAAAGATTTGAAAGCAGGATCTCAAAGAGATACATGTTCATATTCACAACAGACTTATTAATAAAAGCTAAAATGTGGAAGCAAACCA